AGCTGTTGTCGCGGTTAGATCAATGAACTCTCTTTAGTTCATGTAAAAGAGATGCCAAAATAATGTATTAGAAAAATGTGATTAACCGCCATATCAGTCGATACCCCGCAAGCAGCTATTCTTGTCAAAACTACGTCAAAAAGAAGGGAAACTCAAGAGTATTGATTCCGAAAAATCGTGTAACTTGAACACTTAACTTCTTCAAGTACTATTTTAATTATACCTATATACCATCAATGCGTATACAAATCTCTGTGCTTCAGAATCGATCATTGTTTATTGTAACTAACAACCAATTATTTTATATAAAGAATATTAACCTCGTAGACACGGTTGAACTTTGTACGGGGCTGTTTTCTACGCGAGTACATTCGAATGAAGTTTTTGATGATTAAATTATCATCTATTATGATTACATTATAATTTTTAATAAAAAATATTTTTTATAGTTGTTTTTCCATTAAACGTAAAATTTTTATTTGTTTATTTTATTACGAGCCAAATGGGTATAGCCGTGTGGCTGGAGACTGTATATAGGTTATGGTAATTGTTACTAGGTCAACTCAGACTTGTTAATTGACTTGAGCACCAAAAGATTTTAGACGTGAAGATTAGCCGACATATGGCTGATGCCGGGTGCTACAAGAGGTTGGTATGGTGAACTAGCCGACGTGTGGCTATACAGAGTGTCGCAGGAAATGTTAGTAATATGTATCGTAACGAGATTTTTACGGTATACCTCGAGTGGCTAAGATACACCGACAAATGAGTTTTTTGGATTGTGATTATAATTAAATGAGAAAATATTTAAATACAAAATGAATAATTGAATATATTCTCCAAAACCAGATTTTACAAGCGTTGAGTGTACTTGTTGGTTTATTTAGTTTGAATTCCGATGAAGGAAAAATCTGTTCTTCCCAGTTTGAACAAAAAAGGAGTAACTGGGAACTTAAACCGAAATAATACCTAACAGCAGACGTACATACTGTATGGTTAATAGACTCGACAGGGACTCTAATAAATCGATTTCGTTTAAAGATTAGAACTTGTACAGAGGTTCCGCGTTACTCTATGTCCAAGAATTTACAGGGTCCTTGCACAGAGTTTCTGCGTCACTCTATGTTCAAGAATTTATTGGGTCCTCGTATAGAGCTCTTACTCTACGTTTAAAAGGTTACCGAGTCCGACATGTCTTCTCTACGACCCTTTTTATACCCGAAAAATGAGCGGAAAATAGTGGTGATGGAAACGGTGGGAACACATCAACGCGACGTTTTCGTGTAACGAATTTCTTTCGTGTTACTCTTGAGTTGCTAGAAAATTTTTGTGCAATACCAACTAAGGAAATCCCGATCGGTGGGAAAGCTAGAATGGACTAAACTCTTGCTTCGCGTTGATTTTGAACTACGCCCGAACAATCAGCTCCAAAATAGAGTAATGACCAACGCACGTAACAGTTTATTTAAAAACGTGCCACTTTATACAATAAGTATAATTTAATTATATTATATAATAACTAAACTGTTATAATCGCCAAAGCAAATAAAAACACATTAAAATTTAAGTTAAAATGACCCATTAAAAAAAAAATATAATATACAGGGTGGGCATAATTTTAGGGGGTGGTAGCTGGGGTGATTCTGAACAATTTTTTCCTTTACCAAAATGCTGGTTAAAGCTTAGTTTTTGAATTATTAATGAAAAACATTGACCAATCAGAGCGCGAGAATAGCGCGCGCCCAGATGCGAGAGCGACGGATGCAAGCATGACAATTGACCCTGGTCGTGAACAAACAAATCATGCGATATCGGTAACATAGTTACGATCATCGGTAAAATACGTTAGCCGGTAAATAGTTATAAAATTCACAACTATTAATAAGTAT